TGTAAAACTGTAAAGTTTTCATTTGAGACAAGGGGCCCCAGACTCGTTGCTTGAGAAGGGGTGGCTGGGGAATTGGTTCCAAAGGATTCTTTTCTGTACTCAGCCATCCACACACTCAAAGGCTATTCCAATCATGGTCCAAGGAAGCCGACCAACTACTTGGTCTGGAGGCAGGCTTTGGCATTATCCACATGGCATTGCTTTTATAGGCATGCAGAATGCAAGAGGTATGGGGGTCATGGTGGCTTCTGCCCAGCTTTCTAAAGAAGTTCTTTTTTTTTGGTACCAGGGATTGAACTCAGGTCCTTGTGCTTGCAAGGCAGGCCACCAAACCACTGAGCTAAATCCCTGGCCCATCTAAAGAACTTCTGAGAGGCTAGACAATGTCCTCTGAGAGGGTAGTCCATGAAGCTGTGAAAATATATGAAGCTGTGCAAAAATGCAGTGAAGATCTTAGGAAGCTGAAGATGCTAGAAATGTGGAATGTCTGCTGAATAAAACCACAAACAAGCCGGGCGTGGTGGCGCATGCCTGTAATCCCAGCACTCAGGAGGCTGAGGCAGGAGGATCACTGTGAGTTCAAGACCAGACTGGGCTACATAGTGAGTTCCAGAGCAGTACCAACTAGGAAGTGAGACCCTGTCTCAAAACCAAACAGCAAGTGGAGCCATCTCAAGAGAGGCCACTTGGGTTGTACCAGCAAGGCCTTAGAATGAGGGTTGCCCAAGCCATTGGAGCTTACATCTTACTACAGCTGGCTCTAGGTGGTAGACAGAGATTCATTTTTTAAATGTTTGCCCTGATGGGTTTCATTCTTGCTTTGGTGCCATTCATTTCTATCCCATTTCTCCCTTTTGAAATGAAAATGTTTACCCTATGCCAGTGTACATTGGAAGTATTTAACTTTTATTTATATTTTTATGGGGGCTGACAACTAAGAGTTTACCTTGAGTCTCAGAGGGGATTTGACTTTGGACTTTGGAGCAGTGCTGAAACTGTTAAGACTTTGGCAACTCTTAGAGAAGATACATTAGTTATGCTTCTCTAGAGGAAGAGAATATGAAATGTATGCACAACGATAGAAAGCATGTATTAAGTAGGCTTACAGGATCAGAAGTAGAATAGTCACAATGTCATCTGTGGAAATACAGAATAATTCAAAATGGTCACCTGCATATTTGAGAAGCAGAAGATCCAGTGTCAGTTGGAGGCTGAAGACCTGGAAGCTCACTGTAGAGTCACTGGTGTGGGTCTGTGTCAGGAGGCTGGAAAGTCCATGATGGAAGGCTGGAAAGTGTGCAGTCGAGGGCCAGAGAAACTCAAATCTATGTCCAAAGGCAATAATGTAGACTGGTGCTCCTCCAAATAGGACACCCTTCCTTCTTTCCCTTTTTATTCTATCCAAGCTACAAGCCTATTGGTTGGCACCATCCACATCTGGAGTAGGTGTCCCCCACCCTTCACTTTGTTGATCCATGTGGCAATCATTCACAGACACACGCAGAACTTTACTAATCTGATAAGTGGTTCTTACTCAAGTGAACTTGACAAATCATAAAGATCACAGATGAACTAAATACATTTTGCATAATGTGATAGACATGAACCATTTTGGGGGCAAGGGGAAGATTGTTATGGTTTCAGTCTAAAATTTCCCCCTAATGTCTCACATGTTTGTTTGTTTGCTTTTTTGGTACCGGGGATCAAACTTAGGTTCTTGGGCTTGTGAGGCATGCTGCAGTACCACTGATCTAAATACCTGGCTTACATGTTTGGAAAGTGATTGAATCGTGAGAGTTACTATGCTTATCAGTAGATTTATCCATTGATTAATTTAGTATTGGAGTGTGTGTTAGGAGCTGGGTTTGGTGGGAGGAGGGTTCCTGAGGGCATGACCTGGAAGGGTGTATTATTGTCCCTGAGTTCTCCCTTCTCTCTCTGCTTTCTGGCCACCATAGCCCAACCAGCTTTCTTGCATGCCCTTTCACCATGCCGTTTCTGCCTAGAAGGCAGCCAAAAATGGACTGAACCCAGTGAGACTGAGAGTCAAAATAAACTTCTCCTTTTAAAAATTGCCAGTATCAGGTATTTGTCACAGTGACAGGAAAGCTGACAAATACAGGAAAGAATACTCATATGCCCATCTTTCAATCCTCTGAAAAAAGCTTAGATTATTATATTGTTTTAGATCAACTCTTTTGAAAGTATGTTAAAATAGCTTCCCCTTGCCTTTCCTATATAATAGCTTTTTTAAAAAGATAATTTGGGTTATAAGAATTGCCAAGGATAAACATTCTTACATACTCAAGAGTTCTCTGCTAATTATAGTCCCATGGGAACTAGTGGAAGTCAGCTGACTTATTGGTAGGGTCTATCCAGAAAAAAATGTCATCCACCTTAAGCATATATAAGAGAGGGATTTTAATGCAGGAAGTAGGTCTTGGAGGAGCTGGGAGATGAAAGAGAAGATTCTGAGGAACCAGGCGACACATGAAAGTCACTTCGAAGCTGAGGGAAAGTGATACTATGGACCCTGAAGGTGAAGTTGCTTCATGGCAATAGGAACCCTGTTAGAACTCCTTGTCAGGAGCTTGAGTAGAAAAGGAATTAGTGCCAGATATGCTGCCCAGCTTATCATTACTTAATCTGGTGGTGATTCTCACTGCAATTACTGTTCCATACGTCGCCTCCTCATTGGAGCAAATTAATGCAGTGACTATGGCATATCCAAAAACTGAATGATGCCCGTCGTAAATTCTAATAGAATTGCAATAAAAGCTCTTAGATCTCGGAGAAAAACTTTGCTCCCTTTAGCAAGTGAATATTCTTTTTAGAAAATATATCTAAGTGAATCAGCACACAGTTCATGAAGATGTTTGAGTTTTAAATTCTGTGATCAGAGACCCAGGATTTACGATAAAGTGAGAACAAAACTGACCCTGGAAGCATTCTATCAGGCCCCAGAGGAGCAAGTAAGTAGCATGAGCAGATGGCTTATGTGCCCACTGAGCCCACTACACCCCTGTTCCAATCTAATCTGTGTCTGTGGCCTCTTGGAGTGTTTCTTAAGAAACTGTTAGTACAAGGAGGGCTTTGTGGGTAATAACTGCTACCAGCTGTAAGCAGACTTTGACTTTAGGGTTCCTCTGGCATGGCTAACTCTTGAGGACAAGGGAGAAGGGAAGACTTCAGTTAAACAGGATGCTGAGCAGCATATCTCACTAACTTTGCTTTGATGGAAATGAGGCCCACAGATAGGTTCTGGCCATGTTGGTCAAGGGTATAGAAGAAGGCCGATTGGAGGATGGAGAAAAAGGAAGTAATTATGGAACACTCAGAATGGATCTAGAGTATGAGATAGACCCAGCCTGTTGATCAAACATGAAAAAGAAGCTGAGCTGAGCCAATTCCATGAATGACCATTCACTGGATTGTGAGCCTCTTTTGTAGCGAGTCTTTTGGTTGCACATTGAAATGGAAAATGAAAAAGGCAGCCATGTGTAGCCTTCATCCCACAACCTTTCTCTCATCAGAGCAGATGACAACATATTTGAGTCCTCAATCTGTCAGCCTTCAAGACCTGCCTACGTCTGTTATATGGTATCCCAAGCCAGCTCCTTGTTGAATTATATGTAATGTGCTCCCCATATGGAAGGTAATATAATTCCCTCTTCTTGCTTCCTCCTGGTCATGCCTCTGCCAGAATTACTAACTGTAGATTTCTGAATGCTTCCTATAGCATCTTGTTATCCCACCCAAACTGTCTGTGAAAGGAGTTCCTTGGTCAAAAGAATGAAGTTAGCAAACTAATTCAAATGCAATTCACTATTTTATCTTCCTGTAAATGAGGCAGTTAGCCTTATAAGATGGTGGAATGGTCTTTAAAGACTCAGCCCTGCAATCTCACAGGGTATCTTTTTTTTACTTGATATACATATTTGTACCTAATACTAATATTTCAAAATATTCCCTAAGTTCTAAACTAGAGTTCAAAATAAGGTTCTTCATTGTCATAGTTAGAAGACACAGACCTAGGTACTGAGCAAGATTGAAGGACTGATGTGTTTAATAATTACAACTAGTTAACATACTTTAAAAATCTTATTCACTGAATCTTTTAGTGTTACTCATAATTATTCAAGAGAGAAACGCTTTCATCATGGAATACAGCGTAGTTCTTCTGAATTAGAAGGTAAAACTGGCTATTTCAGCTGTTTAGCCTTGGGGACAAAGGACAGAAAGTGGGATACTGTGTTGCCTGGGAGGACTGATTCTGCCTAGTGATGGGAGATACAGTTACTGCTGTTGTACATCTGCATCTTGGAGGAATATGATAGGTACATAGTGGATCCATTTCTTTTTTTCTGATATGTGTTCACTGGACATGGTTAATGGAAGACTTATTGTCGTTCTGTGGAAAAGGCCACTAAGAACTAAAGCACTTCCAGAATCAAGCAATGTTCAGGTTACTTCAGCGAGGAAATGGCTGAAGGGCTGGTAAAAGCTAAGGAGACTGCAGAATTGATAATAAAAGAGGGAAGAAATAAATACCAGCTCTGACTTAGGTATAAATGGCAGAAAAAAGGGCTTGTTCCTTGATACCGTACCGTTAACTTAGAACAAAATGTCTTTTGTTTACGTATTGTATATAGAGTATGTTGTTGGTAGCACAGTATGCCTTTTGTACCACAGATTAAAGCATATTTGGAGCAGGAATAAATAGCATCTAGAGCAAAGTGGGGGAAGGTTACTGTAGGGTGGTGGTAATGTATGAACATTTATGACCAGCTCATGATGAGAGATGCACGGGAATAAAGAGTATTTAAAATTCCTCCATCAAATTGGTATTAAAATTCCTATGCTTGTATACAATAAAAAAAATCAAGGCTTGCGTTTTATGTTATTTTTAATTTCATTTTTAGCAGTTCATTTTATTGCATTTCCCAATGAATTTTTCCATGACATATTAGAAACAAAATTTTACTGCTCTTTTACTACAGACAGTTTGAGAAGCAATGATCTTGATGAGCAGTAGCCTGGTGAAATATGTTCTCAATCCTGGATGCAGCAGTTGTGTATAACTTTGGTCACTTCTCATCATGAAGGAAGTAAGCAAGTCCACCATTTTTCATAGAATATTTGGGTGGTGGTATTGGGGGAATCTTGGGTGTATAGGTTGGGCAGCCAAAGGTAAATGCATATGTGACTGTGCAGCTTACATCCTTACTCCCCTCTCCCCATTTATCACCAGCGGGGTAATACAGTTGAGGAGGAAAAGGACATTACTAGATGTCTTAGAATGGATACCTGTTTTTGTTACTGTCTTGTTGCTGATACACAATACCTAACACCCTCAGCTGTAAAGAGAAAGGTTTATTTTGGCTCAGTTTGGAGAGGTTTCAGTCCACGGTCTCAGCTGGCTCCAAGGCAGAGCAGCACAACAGCACGGCAGACAAAGAGCTCATGGCATGGCAGTGGGGTGCAGAGAGAGATGGAGGAGGACGGAGAGACAGACCATGTCAGTTCACGCCACCAGCGACACACCTCCTCCAGCCAGGCCTCACCTTTTAGCATCACATTATCTATAAATTCATCAGTAGGTTTTTATCACACACTCAAGATCCAATCATTTCTTTAAAACTCTACCTATGAGCTCATGAAGCTTTGAGGGGACATCTAGATATAAACCCTAACACTGCCTCTTCCAAGGTTAGCAAATAGCCCGAGCCTGATCTCTCCAGGAAATCTGGAAAGTAGAACAGAGAAGACAATTTAGGTGTAAGTTGAATGGAACTGAATATGACAGAATCCAGAAGGTCTCCAGGGTTCCTATTATAGACTTTCCTGAAATTTTCTGGGCATCTGCTCTTTTTGGTAGGTTTTTCTTTAATTCTGGAGATCCCCAGAATTCTTCTAATAAATTTCTTTCTTGCTTAAATTCTAAACCTATTTGTGCTTGTCACTAAACTCACAAAGGATCTTATAATTTTAAAAGCACTTGATAAATACCTCTTGATTGCTTTCCAAAAAGTTGAAAATCGATATGCCATCACCAATGATACGAGTGTCTACCTCCAAGTACCTTTGCCAGAACTGAATATTGAATGTATATGTGTGTAAAATGTATATGTATGTGAAGAAAATGACAGAGAAAAACAGGCTGAATATGCCTAATCCAAAAATCTGAAATTCTCCAAAATCTGAATTTCTTGAGTACCAACATAATGCTGAAAGTAGAAAATTCCACATCATGAGACATATTATGCACAAAATTATTTTAAAATATTGTATAAAATTACTTTTGGGGTATGTGTATAAGATGTTTATGAAACATGAGTTTCATGCTTAAATCTAAGTCTCTTTCCTGAAATATCTCATTATGCATATATTAATATTAAAAAAATCCCAAATCCAAAATGCTTTGGATACCAACAATTTTGAAAAAGGGATATTCAACCAATCTCTCTCTCTCTCTCTCTCTCTCTCTCTCACTCTCACCATGTCTCTCTCTCTATGATACCAACAATTTTGAAAAAGGGATATTCAACCAATCTCTCTCTCTCTCTCTCTCTCTCTCTCACTCTCACCATGTCTCTCTCTCTATATATATCTTTGACATTCTTCCAGGGTAGAAACAGGGCTTTATTTAAATTGTCTTTGTATCTTTGCATATCTTTGGAGGTGAACTTTCGGGGGGATGAAGTGTCAGTACCTTTTTATAAGCAAGTTATAGAAGCCAAATTCTAAATAGGCTAAAAAAGGATTCTATTAGTGTATATAAAATGGAAAGATGCCATAGTCATTTATAGAATTGAATAAAAAAGCATGGGAACTAAGTCACGAGGACAAGGCTTATCTTCATGCTCAGGCACTCACCTGCTTTCTGTCAAGTGATCACTGTGAGCCCTTTTATTCACTCATCACTGATTTCTTTCAAGAAGTTTCCATCATGTAGCAGGATTTATCGCTGCTACAGAATGAGACCTTGTTTATTGTTCAGTAGAGATCTGGCCTTGCTTGGATCACTTGTGTCCTCTAGCCACAACACTTTGGATGAGTTGCTATCAGTATACATGCTTGGATTATTAGCCTATTACTTGGAAATACAGGAAAGGATATTGTGGTCAACAGTCATAAACAGTACCTCCATCTCATGCCCCAGAATAAAATGAAGTGGGAAAGGAGGGTTGACCTGAATGGAAAGTTGCTGCTCAAGGAGAAATGTCCCTTGTCCACTTATCAGGAGTTCTAGATTTCTGACCAGATACATTATGTGTGGAAATCAATATATTGACTAAAATGGCAATAGTACGTTAGAGTAATCATATAGTTTATCGTCTAAACTTGGACACTTTGGAAAACAAAAGAGGCTACCAATGGGAGGAGGGAGAAGAGAAATAAAAATAATTAAGATGCACTATGTTTATTCTCCAAGATTAATGCAATTATTATGTCACAAATATTTACTAATAAAGTAAAAAATAATGGAATGAATGTCTCCCCTATCATAGGGAAGCTGAGCAAGTAGAAGCAGAGTAGCTATTTTGAATTGTTGCGCTAACTTCTTTCCTCATGTGATGTGGGCCTAATAGTACTTATAGCTATAAAGCCCCATATTGCTTTTACAATTACCATCGACCACTTCCCAAGGGAAAATAACTTCTTGGAACGAAGGTTATAATTCACAAAAGGCTCAAGATTCACAAAAAGACTAAATTTACAGTGGAAGGAACTATCTGCTTGATAGTTCTCAAGGGAATACATAGGCTTGAGGTGAGGAATCAGCATTTCACATGTGAGGGATGAACATGTGGAATGATTAACAGAAACACTCAAGGTTATGAGCCTGGTGCAATTTACAGTCTTGACTCTGCCATTTGCCAGTGAGGACCCTGAGCAAGTTACTAACCACTCAAGACCCGTGTCTTTGCCTGTAAAATGGAAATTATAATACTTCACATGATCATGTTTAGAATTACAGTATATTAACATATAGCATATGATATATGTGTAGTTCATAGATTACCATATACTATTATATGCTCGGAGCTCTGAAGGATTAGCTGACAATACCACCAAAATAGTGCAGTGGAAAAGGGAAAAACTAAATTCTTTATTAAAGCAGGTGGAACCTCTGTAGACGTTGCTCACACATATCTTTCCATCTGTCTTTATATACTCAATCTGTTCTTCTGGTCTGTTAATTCCTCCCTAAGGATTGCCATAAAAAAAAAATCACCAAAAACTAAAAACAAAATAGCCACCAGAAATTCATTTTAGGGCCAGGGAAGAGTGGCCAAATATCTCCTATATGGTTTAATAATGTCTTTGGCTTTAATTGTATTACTAGAAACACTAAAAAGGCTTTTAGGGTTATGTGATGGTTGTGTCAATTTGAGTAAATAACATCCAACTAAATTGGCTCAGCATGGTCCTGGGTGTGGAAGACCCACCCTTGGGAGACATTGATGCCAGAGCTCTCTAAAAGGGAAAGGAAGATGGAAGAATTGCTTCTGCCATCTTCAGGGAGCACCAGTCCTCGCTTTCACCTCGGACAGTGTCTCTGGCTTCCAGCACAGACCCTTTAGCCTTCCGGAGCAGACTGTGTGGACTCCTGAGATGAACTCAAGTAGGACACTACACAGAGATCCAGGCCTTCGGCTGGATCCTATGGATCCTGTGTGCAGACAACCGCCTCGCTCTTCCACAACCAAACTCTGTGGGTGGCCATTGTAACCCAATCTGTAGAGTCTTATATATTTGTATATCTTGTATTATATCTATTTCTCTAGTACTGACTGATACAGGTGAGTAGAAAGAAAAGTTTGGTTCACAGAAATTTAATTTTTTTCCCTATATGTGAACATGTACATCAGCTTCATGCATAACCACTAAAAACTAGATAGCCCAAATATCTACCCACTGGTGATAGATGAACAAATTGCTGCACATCCTACTCTAGAGCTACTTAATAATAAAGAATGGACTATTGATTCACACAAAAACATAGATGGATCTCAAATATATTGTGTCAGTGAACAAAAACCAGTTCAAAAGATACAAGATTTTATATTTTATATAGAAATAAAACTATAGGAATAAACTATGGCAGAGGACAGGATTAACTGTACATGACATTTCTATGAGGAAATATTCTATATCTTTTAAATTCAAAATTTAATTGGCATAATTGTACATATTTCTGGTGCACAATTTGACAGTACACATATACAATATATAATGATGAAATCCAGATAAATGGCATTTCCATATCAAATATTTAGCAATTCTTTCTGTTGGAACTTTTGCAATCCTGTCTTCTGGATATTTTATAAAATAAAAAGTTATTGTAAACTATAGTCAGCCTACTGACTAGATAGACCACCAGAATTTAATGCTCCTAAGTGTATTTTGGTGGTAGTTAACTGATTCCATTGTATTTCAGCTACCCACACCCTTCCTACCTCTAGTGAACAGGATTCTTTTCTCACCTATATGAAATCAAGATTTTTATTTTGCATATTTGTTTGGGAATGTGTGGCATTTGTTTTCTTGTGTCTCATTTATTTCACTTAACATAATCTCTTCATTCCAATGATGTTGCTGCAAATTACAGGATTTCTTTCTTTTTATTTTATTTACCCATTGATGAACATGTTGGTTGATTCCATATTTTGCCTACAGTGATTAGTGCTACAGTAAATATGGGAATGCAGATATTTCTTGGTGTACTAATTGCATTTCCTTTAGATTTATATCCAGCAGTAGGGTAGCAAGGGCATATGATGGTTCTATTCTAGTCTTTTGAGAAACTACCATACCACTTTTCATAATTACTAGAATAATTTTAAATTTCAACCAAGACTTTTCATTTTTTACCATCCTTACCAACTTGTTATTTTTTGGCTTTAACAGGTTGGGAAAAATGATGTCTCATTGTATTTTGATTAGCATATCCCTATAATTAGTGATGTTATCATTTTTTCACAGACTTGTTGGCTATTTATATATCCTCAATAAATGTCTATTTAGATAGTTTCCTCATTTTGGGGGGGATTTTTTTTTCTTTTGCTGTTAAGTTCCTTATGTACTCTGGATATGAGTCTCT